GAGGTTAAAAGCCAAGATAATAAATAGAGAAATTAATATTATTCAATAAGCTAGAAAGGATAATTATCTGATCACAAGCATCTAATTCGCAGTTTTTTTTTTTTTATCATGTGTCAATAGACAAAAGCTTATAAGTAAAAATCTAGAAATCACAAGACTTACATAGCATCGTCAAAAAAAAATGGTAGCTGGATTTTTTACTGGCTTGCATATGACTTTGGATACGGATTGTTGGTAAAATTATGTATCATACAATGATGATGATTATCACTGACGTAGTTTATTGTATTGTATTAGTAAACAATAATGATAACAATAATGTAATTATTAGATTTTTTCTTTGACTTATGATAATTTACTATGTCAAATTTAAATAATAAAACCTGTATTGGTTGTCATATACCTAAAAATTATGAAGAATTTCTAAGTGAAAAAGGGTTTCTTGTAACAAAATGTTTGAAATGTCGAAATAATCTTAAAACAACTCGTTCAAAAAAAAAATTCAACCTGAATCAACAATTACTCATACGGATATTACTGAAGCAGTATATAACTCCTTAATTTCTTTGAATAATACTAATGATTTTTATGAAGATGAAAATAAGGAGTTAAACATAATTCTTAATATTGAGCATTTATCCTTTCAAAATTTTCTTTTAGAAAATAACTTTTCTAACAAAGAAAATTTTAATTTTGAGTTTGGACATCGCATAATTAAATTAATCTCAGAAGTTGATGGATACTCGTGGGTTTACCATGCCAAGAATCAAAAAAAAAATTCTTTACTTTTAACATACTACTGTAATTGCTAGATTGAACTTGGAAAGCGTCAAGCCAAACATCTGGTTTTAGAAAAGCAAAGAGATATACCTACCTTTTTAGAAAGATATAATTGTAAAGGAATTATAAGTATTGAAATTTTTTCAGAATTAGATTTAATTGCAGTTAAATATTCATACAAAATGCTACATCTATGGCCAAGCCATGTTGAAATATCTTCTGAAATTAAACAATTTATTAAAGTAATATTTATTGTTCTTCTTCTGAAATTTGTCATCAGGTTTGTGAAAATCAAATTAATGGATACAAATGTATAACTGTTCAACAAATTTACTACTGGTGGTCAGTAGAATCTCGAAAAATATATAGTCGACATTCAGATCCTTTACTATCTGCACAACTTTTAATAGAGGAATGTGGCTTACAAATTATATTAAATCATCTTAATTTACCTGTTCCTGCACTTGGATTTTTAACAACATTATTTCATCGATTAATTTATAATAAGTTGGATGCAATAGTAATTGATGCAACTTATGGCACAAATAGCTTATTATGGGAATTGTATGCACTTATGGGCATAATTGATGGTACTGGGTTTTCTTTTAGTTATTTGTTAATTTCAACTGAAAAAAATCGAGATATAACAGGAATTCTTACATGCTGGATGCAAGCTTTAAAAGAACAACATTTGAAACATTTTTCATTTATTTTAATTGACAAAGATTTTTCAGAAATAAATGCGACACAAACAGTTTGGCCAGAAGCTCGTATACAAATATGCATGTGGCATGTACGTTGTGCTATCAAACAATGATTAGCATCAAATAAAACAAATATATACTATACTTATAATCCTAGAATTGCACATGATGAATGTTTATTAATAGATCCTAATTGGGGTGTTATAAATAATTCTAATTCGACAGTCTTTTGTCCCTTAAATTTACATAAAACAGTAATAGAAATTATAGAGAATCATTCAAGCTGACATATGTTACTACCAAAATCTGATAGTAGTTTTGTTACAAATGCAAATGAGATTTGGAAAGAGTGTATTAATGAAATTTTTCAATTCTGTAAATGTAATGACTTACTTAGATTGTGAATATACCTCTGGAAAGAATGGTATTCAAAAAAAAGTGGGTTTTGTGGGCAAGATCAGCTAATAAAAATATTTCCCATATTAAAACAACTATGATTGTTGAAACACATTGGCATCACATTAAGCATGATTATTTATATAAATTTCACAAACCTAGAGTTGATCATTTATGTTTTATTCTTATTAAAAAAGTTCTTATTCAGCAATTGTATCGAGTTCAACTACTTCAGCAAGGTTGATATTCAGTATCATGGTGAAAGAAGTTTAAGAAAGAATGGAAGTGACATGAAAAGCAAAAAACACAATTAAATAATAAGTACTTACTGACCCAGCTAAGTGGATATGTGCATATCCTACATATATCCAAAGTCGTTTTTTTTTATGCAAGCATCTAGTTAATTCCGTTGAAAAAGCTGATTTGATGTTTTTTAAAAAGACAAGTAATAATTATTTGAGATTCAATATATATATATATATCATACTATTTTATATTATAGGTACAGCAAAATGGAAAATATCCACTAATTTTTTCATATGAAGACAAATTGGTGAACATGTTTAACTCAGAAGATATTCAGAATCATGAAAATTTAACTTTTCCATTAATTCAAAACCCACAAATTGAGCATGAAGATGATTATGTTATTGAAGGCAGTGATGATGAATGGGATATGTACGAATCAGAATTAGCATATTTGTATAAAGTCTTAGGTAAGGTATTTAAATTTTATTATTATTATAATTTTTTTTTTAAAAAAAAATTAAAAAATTCTATTGTATTTTAAGACCAAAGAGCTTCTTGAAGAATCACGTACCAAGTCGAAAAGACATTTATGGCTGCACAATATTCACCCGAATTTTAGATTACTAAAAAAAATGAATAATGACATTTTATTATTAAATAATCGATGAATGATGCCAAGAACATGGCAAGACTTTAATAATAATACAAGATATTGGGAATGAAAAACTTATATTTATTTTTGCGGCAAACAGTTAGGAATGAACGTACATTTCTAATTATATTATTCAAAATAATATATACACTGTAATTTGTGGTGAAAATAAATATAATTTAAAATAGGAAAGCTGGAATTTGGGTAAAAAATTTGTTACTCAATTAAATCTATTGTTATATTAGCATTAGTATGTTTATTTATTACTTCGTATATTAAAACATGTGTCAGAAATAGCTACTATGCATTATATTTAATGTTAAAGTTCTTTAATAATACTTAAAGTTTCAAACATATATCGATATAACTTAATCAGCAAAAAAAAAAATTTATGAGTTTACCTGGCAATTGTCATTTGAAATCATATGTAGGCCGGCAAAAAAAATCCGGCTACCATTTTTTCATGGTAACACTAGGGTTGTTGAAATCACAAGACGAAGTCGCATGATTATAATAACCAATCGGATAAAAAAGAGACCCACCATTTCAGATGCCTATTGTTAGATCCAATAACGTGACGAAAGTACTCTACCAGGACCTCACGTGAGAACGGTTACGACGATCTATTCCTTGATTTAGATATCCTGGCGATTAATCGAATTAATTCGATTAATTAAATAAATCAAGGAAGTGAGATTAATGGGATTAATGAGATTAAGAGGATTTATTAAGTAAAATAGTTTAATTTGATAAGTTAGAGGAATCGAATTAAATAGAGAAATGCAATTAATGTAATTAAATAGATTATAAGTAAAAGATAATATAAATAAAGGCTGAAATGGCCCTTAGGAACAAAAAGTGCTCTGTTTGCTCTATTAAATAATAAGTCACAAGTACTTTATATCGCCCATAATAAACACTAACACTAATACCGATATAAACCTTGTAAACCCCTATAACATCGTCGTTCGTTCAAGTTCCCGAGCACGTGACTTACCCGACTTGCCTTTGTGGACCCAAGGTAGCCGAAAGCCTTAATCACCCACCAGCCAAATCTAACACCCTCTTTCAAAAGGTTACCTATCGTACGTTACACGAGAATTCGGATTGTGGAGCGACCGAGTCGCCATCTTCCGAACACAACACTATAAACCATACTCTACGTTGTACGTTGTACAAACTCCGTTCCTGGTATGCTGGCCGTTTCCCGAAATTAATTTGGTTGTTGGTTCAAGTTAAAAAACTCGCCCAAATTATCAGTACTAATACGTGGATAATACAAACATTTTTAGTTTCATTAGTAAATTTTAATATATCTTCCATAAATTTGTTAAATGTAATACGTATAATAAATATTTCCGATGGATTTTTTTTTTTAATTTGCAAATTTTATATTGATTGAAAAATACCACTTGTCGTTTTTCAATTGAAAAATGACCTGCGTCAATTAATAATTGGCAGAATTTTAAAATGACGCATGACAAATATACATATTCATAATCATAATTTTTTTTTTGCCTTGCAAAATGTGTAAATTCATTTCTCTAAATCTTTCAATATTTTATTTTTTTTGCATTAATGAAATTATGTTATTTAAGGGAACCACATCCAGTAAACGATTCAAGTTCACTTGCCGAATACCAGTTTTCTAGTA